CAATGACCCTTCCCCCCATGGGACTGGGCCATGCCCCCTTCCCTGTTGCAGGGCTGGGTTAGGGCCAGACCACACCCCCTTTCCACTCCAGGGTGGAGCCATGCCCCCTTCCTCCTCCTGTGGGGCTGAGTCAAGCCCTCCTCCCCTGCAGGGCCGGGTTACCCCTCACCCTCCTCTGCATGGCTGGATGATGCCCACTATGCCTACCTCAGGCGCTGCCCATTTGGCCCCCCAGGAAAAAAGGCTGAGCACCACTACTGCATATGGGATAGATAAACCATACCTGGGAGACAGTGAGGGATGCCTGAATCAGGTCAAAACTCCAACGCTCACAGGTTCGGTGAGGTCCAACTAGGATAATTGCATTCACAGTTTTGCTGTTTTCCCGTAACCTGTGACATTCTTACGTGCATTTATTTTTTCTTTTGTTTTCTTTAAGGTAAAGTGTGTTTTGGATAAGAAATTCCTATAGGATCTCATGTTCTTTGTGTTTCTATGACAACACTGTCCCTGAAAGGTGTAACTAAGAACTAAGAGTACCCAAAACTAGATGGACACTGCAGAAAAACCATATTTAAGCCACTTGGGGCTAGGTTATAGGCATCTCTCTAGCATTTTCCACTTGTAGATGTCAAAGCACTCTAACTTGGTGGGTAGGCATTGCTAACCTTATAGTACAGACAGAGTATCTGAAGTATACAGAGGTTAAGGATCTGATTCAAAGCTCATTGAAACAAATAGGAGACTTTTCACTGATTTAGGTGCCAAAAGAGATGCTAAGCCCACATTTGTAAGGGAACAGAGTCATCCAACTCCCACTGAAATCAGTTAATGGGGGTTGGTCGCCTCAATCCTTTTGGTTGGTTGCCTCAATCCTTTGACTTCCTGCCCCTGGGGTAGGGGGCTGGACTCAATGATCTTCCAAGGTCCCTTCCAGCACTAATGTCTATGACATCTATGAAAAATCTGGTCCTAAGTGACTTTGTGATATATTGCATAGGACTTATATAGTAAAGCATTGATAGAATATAGAGTAGAAACTTAGACCCTGATTTCTAGATTGAACAGTGGCTGACTGTCTAGGTACATGTGCCCCATTGACATAGAAACTGAACGTCTCTTAAATTTTCAAAAACAGAAACCAGTAACAATCACAGTCATCACTAACATTTCATATTATTTTTCTCACTCTGCCAAAGGGGGGTTTTTTTTGGTTTTGGTTTTTGGTGGGTGGGGGAAAGTGAGGGGAGCAAAGGTTCTTCAGAAACTCTTCAAAATAAATTTCAAGTTTTATGTCAGTATCAGTTGCATCTGAATCTGTCTCATTAAATTTAGGACAAGTTTAGAAATGCATCTAGTTTCATATAGGGTAATTGGTTCACTAGGAATTTTTTCCTGATAACAGACTAGTCCATAGTTTTTTTAATGTGTGTGTGTGTGCATGTGTGTGTTTGGGTGGGTGGGTGTGGGCATGTGTGGATGTGTATTGTACCTATGGAGAAGAATCTCTTGTGCAGGAAGCAAAGTCAAAGATTTTAATTTTTCACTAAATTGTGAGCATGGTCAGCTTCAGGACCATTTTTCTCACTTACAGGAAAGAGCACCACAGTGGTAGGTATAGATCTTGCAAAAATGCTGTCTCTCCTTTACTTAAGTCTCACTGAGGAGTTCCAGTACTTATCCTAATATGAATTGACTTTGATTGGTGTATTGTTTTTAGGTGTCTTCTATAAATCGTTTCCTTTTCAGTAAAAATAATCATGCATGCTAAGCATTCTTCTACTGTTTCCCTACTTGAGAACTGGTATCTGATCAAACCTATATTTTTAATTATGTTTCTGTAGGCAGATGGGAGAATAGTTTACAGTCAGTGTATAATCTTCCCCGCAAATATGGGAAAATTGTGGGTTTTTTAATATGGCCTTATCAGTTTCTTTTTTTTATTACTGATGACTTCATTCTGTTTGAATTCAATGCTTCAGTTTCTTTGGGGTAAACTAATAGATTATGTATGAGATATTTGCACAGCGCTGATTGAATTCATCTGGTGAGTTTGAATGTGGTTCATATATTCACGTAATTGTCAGGAGCCAAGCTGAAATTCAGAACTGTTGCATGAGCATTGGATCAGGCATTATATTCATCTCACATTACTCAGGAGTGAGTGGAACTGTTTTATGTTATGCTAGCACAGCTTTTACTTCTCTTCCAATTTGAAGAGGGGGACTTGGGCCTTAAAAGCAAATGTTTGTTTACAGATATTGATGTGGGCAGTGATGGAGAAAAATTACGCTTATCATTCATAGGTTATGGATAAAACAGATTACTGATTATCTGATTATCTGCGTTTATCAAATAAGTAATTTTTCTTTCAAAATTATGTTTAGTTTCTATTTTTTCTTGAAGCTGATGGCTGAAAGCTGCAGTTGAATTTGAGTTGAGTGTGTGGTCTGCTGAAGAAAAGCAGCCAATGCAGTCTTTAACATGGGTCACTTAGATTTTTGCATGGCCCCCAGCATCATAACGATGGTGATCTTAGATGGTCCTTAGTATTGGGAGTTCACTGCCACAACAGTTGTCCTTTTCCTCAAAGCACAATTATGTGGAGTCCTGTGCTGCGTGGAAATCTTAGCTTTCGGTTTAAAAAAAAAAAAAAAAAGTTTTGCCCTTTGGGCTATGAAGAGGAGCTTCAAAACATGTCTCCTGCAGGCCCAAAAAATCAGAGGACAAATTAAAAAGAACCCAGCACTTTCTTTGAAACAAAACAAAACACCAAAAAACTTATGATTTTAAACCTACCTCAGGGTTTGTTTGGTTTTGGTTTTTGGTTTTGTGGGGGGGAACAGGCTAATGGATTTTGAATGTGTAAAGTTGGCAGTACTGATTGCAGGTGCCTGGTATGTCTGGGGTACGACGCTCCCACTTGCCCACATCAAAACAGACATTTAGTTGTAAACCATGCCAGTGGTGTCGTCCCACGGCCACACTTCAACACACCATAGCCACAATGTAGTCATGCCTTAAGACAGCCACGTTTACGAGTCCAGGATCCACAAGTCGTCAGCAGTAGCCAGTTTCACGGTAGAATTTCCAGACTAGCTCTGTGCCTGAAAGTGATACGTTTTCATGAAGTTTGAAATAAGAGTGGACAAGGGGGAGACAAGAATCTTCCAACATATATTTCAGTAGCTCTCTAGCCAAAACACCTGGGTTTTGAATGTGGCATTTAATCACCTTTAGTGAGGACCCCTCTGAAAATCATATTTTGTTCATGTGACTGCAGTTTGCATGGAGTTCTCTTGTAGCTGATTGGGATCAGTTCTACTAAATCAGGGTGCATTGCCAAACAGTTTAATTGCTACAATTTTATACAGCTAGTTTTAGATTCACATAGCCTGTAAGCTAGGGATGAGCGTTTTTTTCCATTGGGTGGAGGGATCACAAGTGCCAAACTGAAGCTGCTGTTTGCAGGATTTGGGGGACACAGTGGAAGTAAATTTTTGGTATAAGAAGGAAAGCCCACAGACTACAGAAAGAGATCTCACTACTTTGTGCTTTTGAAAATATGCATAGAACAAGGCTCTTAAGTTCAGCAGATAGTGCAGAAGCACACGTAAGGTAGGGCACTTGCGAGACGATAGAGGTGGAAACTGGATGACTGGGAGCAAAGGAAACTCAAAAATTGATTATGGGTTCACAGGGAGAACTATCCATCTTGAGAATAAAGATTTTCTTGCTCTTTGCTGCCCATTCAGCTGTGGGTGTATGCTCAGTGAAATCTGCCTTAATGAAAGCTCTGAAATTAACCACCATAGTTACTAACTTAGCTACATAGCTAATAGCCAGTAGATGCTTGCAAATATTTACCATGAAATGGTGTAATATAATGTATGTACCCTGAAAATTGTTTCACCATGCACAAGTCATACAAATGATTTTTGTGGACTCTGGTTGCAAGATGCTGTTTATAGGAGGTTTTATCATAATATTTCACAAATAATATAACATGTACTTGTGCAGTCTGTATTATTATGCATACACACAAAGGAGAAGAGTTCAGGTGCAGACCTATAAAGGGTTAAACATAAGAAGATATATAATGATACATAACAATGTCAAGATTTTGTTGACAGGAGATTTGCGTTGTCCCTAAGATGTCCCCCCAAAAAAGCCAGTAAAACTTTTATTTTCTCGTGTAGTCAGTATTTCCTGTGCGCAAAGAAATTCCTTAGTTTTGTGAGTCCAACTGTACTTGTTTTGGAGAAATTTGAGAATGCTAGCTAAGACTGAGACTCAAAACCTTATGCACAAACTTAACTTTACACATCATAAGTAGCCCAATTGATTTCACTGAGACAGTTTACAGCACATAAACTACATATTTGTGGGGTTAGAGCTGAACTACCAGATGTTACTTTTTTCATATATAATAATGGCATGATTTTCTCCCATTATTTGCTGGGCTGAAACCTTAGTTCTTTATATTATTCAAAGGGAGATTCGTGTCTTGTATATGGGATAAATCTGTCTCCTTGCTTCTTTCTCACCCATACCTCAGACAAATGTAGTTTGAAGGAAATTTCATGTTTAGCGTGGAAAAAGGAAACATTTTTCTGGCAGATTATCATCATTATTATTATTGTTATTATTAAAATGTGCCAGCCATTTATAGTTGCTTATAGGAATGTTAAAGGTTTCCTTGTGCTCCTCCATCTGCCTGTATCCATCTGTAGTCTCTTGTTTTATCCTTCTATTGTAAGCTCCTTGGCCAGGGATAGACTTTTTTCTACTGTATTTGCACAGCACCTAGCATTATGAGGTCTTGATCTATGACTTGGACTGCCAAGTGCTACAGTAATGCAAATAGTAAGTACATAAAAGTGGGGTGGATTAGGGGGCAGACATCTAGTTGAAAGAGTCCAAACAGTGTGTTGATCATAATGATATCAATATATAACATGTGGGGTGTTTAAATTTCATTATTTTTCAAAATTTTGCAGTGGCTGTCCAGTCAGTGGAAATGCAGACCGTATCCAGAAACTACGGAAGGAGTACCATCAAGCCAGGCGAGAAGGTTTACCATTCTACGAGGATGACGATGGAAGGACACGGTCATCTGATTATGATCAACACTGGGTAGGTTCACAACTAACCTACCTTTTTTTTTTTCATTGTGAAAAGCTTGTGGAAGATACTGGTTTGTATTTGTTACAAATCTTTGGGTTTTGTAGATATGGAAATGCCTTTCATTCCAAGCCACAAAAGAAGTCCTATATATGTTTTCATTTCACCAAACCTCACTCGTATCCCCTCACTGTGTTAGTTTAGGCAGTGGGCCATATTTGCACTATTTCAGAGGAAATCCAACAGGGACAATCATTCCCCAAACTCCCAGCCACACAAATTTGTATTAGGTTTCTTAGTAGCTGGGTGTAGCCCATTCCAGCTCCTCATCCTGCCATTTCATTTACCAGAACAGCTAGAGTATTAAGAGAACAAAGACTTGAATTATGCCAGACTGCTGCATGGAAGGGAGGGAAAAGCAAATGTAAGGCTGAAGTTACATGATACACTTAAACAATAATAAAGGCACTTCAGACATGGGGCTTTGTTACACATTACACTTTAAGCTTCTCCTATGCTGATCAGTGTTAGTGTTAGCTCAGGTTTAGAGCAGTTAGAGCAGCCAGATGTTCAAGATAAAAACCTTCTCTGACTGTCCCTGATCTGCACAGCTATGACTTGCCATGAGAGGGCTGGTGAGAAGGCCCCTGACTAGGAGCTGCAGCTATGAGTTGCCAGTGGAAGGCTGTTGAGTCAGGACAGGCTTCTATCCCTGCTCTAGGTGGGGGTGGGTTGGAGAGATGAGTTGTTGGCAGTGGGATCATGAGGCTGGAAGGGGGAGTAGTTAGTGACATGGGAGATGGAGGGGCAATAGGTGGGAATGGGAGTTGGGTGGTGAAATGAAGGAAGTCAGCTGCTGAAGCCACTAAATAATAAAATAAAAAGAGGCAAAAAAATAAAAATAAATAAAGAGTAAGTGAATTAAAGAAAGTGTCATGTTTAAATAGATGGGGATGGGGATGGGGATGGGGATGGGGATGGGGATGGGACGGGGATGGGGATTGGGTAGCCCCAACTCACAGGGATGCTGCCTCTGCCCCAGGAGGAAAGCCCCAGTTCACAGGGTTCCCATTCTGACACCATACCTTGCTCCCTACTCCATCCCTACTAGCCTTCCCCCCTGGACTGATCTGTGCCCCTGTGAGCTGCCCAGCCAGGTCACACTCCCGGGGATGGGAGGGGGAGTTTGCTTGGTTCCAGTACCACTCTCTGGGCAGTAGAGTTCAGGGGGGAAGGCT